CANAGGGGGAAAAAGGAAGGAAAAAAAGAAAAAAAAAGAAAAAAAAAAAAAAAAAAAAAAGAAAACGCGAAAGTATGAATAAACGGTTGGCCGGTGAGTAATAGAGAGAACGCGGATATTGTCCAGGTCAAGAAAAGTAATCGATGCTCTCTCTCTTCCCCTTCTTAAATCCTTGCACATTTCTCCTCGTTCCTCCACCGTTCAATCCTCGCTCTCTGTCTCGCCTTCTCCCTCTCGGCTCGTCAACCCCCGTTTCCAGCCCCATTCAAGCTCCCTTTTAGCCGATTCAACCCCTGCCGACGATCCGCCGCGCGATAACGTTTCGCTCGACAACTTACCCACTTCCAGGCTCGCTTTGTAGCCTTGCTTCTCTATTTTCCATCCGACGCCCTCCATCGATTATCGACTCACGGAATCATCGCTGGTGTAAGCAAGTTACACGCCGCCGCAGCCGTCTTCGAGCGTCAAATGTGAATCGAGTGTTTCCCACAGTTTCGTGCTCGAGCGCGATATCGCGTTATTAAACGGCCGACACGTCTACTTAAGCCTCGATCGAGTAACCTTTCTTCTTCTTCTTCTTTTTTTTTTCTTCTCCTTGTTCGAAAAATTGGAATTTCATTCTTTCCTCGATACTCGAACTCGAACGTACGTCAACGAACGATCTGTTTTCCTTGAATTATTTCGACGATAAGTATCATTTTAGAAGGATAAATTTATAGATCCGATTTGGAAATTATTTCGGATGGTTATATCTATAATTCGGGGAAGTTAATTTATCAACGATAAATATTATTAGTCTTAGTTTCGGGCTAAAGATTCCGATTCGAATCTATTTATCGATTCGATGTTTAATCTTCTTAGCGGATGGGTGTATCCAATTTGATCCAAGTTTTCAAGAGTTTCTTCGATCGATCACTATTTATATCATCGGTGCATATGAAGCTTTGACGTCTTGGCGATTCAATCTCGGTTGTCGATATTTAGCACTCGTCTTTTTTTACCGATATCATTTATATCCTAACAAATTTCTATTTATTATGAAAAATTCGTATCATCGTTGAAAACATTCACGAATTAAAGATTAACGTCTCCACGCGTAATTTGAATCATCGAGGAGAAATTCCATTTTTTCCGAAACGAGATTTTATTTTATTTTATTTCTTTGAAACAAATTCAAACGTATTAAATTTTAACTTAATATATAATTATTTTCTCAAT